ATTGTTTTCAGTGTAGTACTTTGTGCAAGATGTTAGTATAATCCCCCCCCCCCCTTCCCCCGGGTCTCTTTTCGTTTTTTGTTTCCTATATCAGTTCTTCACATTTAGTCCCTGCAAGTACTTTATTGGTTTGTTTTATTTGTATGTTGTACCTTTCATCTTTCTAAAGGTTTAGTGTAAATTCAAGTTTTAATTTTGCTATTTGTAGGTTCCAATTACTTTTGTCGATAGAGTATTTGGAAGTTCCAAGCTGGGAGGATCTGAAATAGTGGAGTACCTGAAGGGCCTTCTGTATCTTCTGGTTACAACTTGATATGGATAGCAAGCTGTGACAATCTAAAGACTTGAACTAGGACCATTTAACATATTCTTTTTCTTTTTGCTTCAGCTTAGGTGACAAAATTTTTGATTAATGAGCTATTATGTGTTGGAAAGAATGTTACTGAAGTAAACGCTACTTTGGCTTATTTTGTGGATGCTGCTTTTCAATATTGGCTAATACACTTGTACAAGTTGTCTGTTATCAGATAATGTCATAAAAGGGCTTCCTTTTTCGGATCTTTGGAATAGTTTTAGGTCATTTTGATGCAGGGTCTAAGCAAATTGATTCCAACATTCTGTGAATTTAACTTGCATTTTCTAGCTTATATATGTCTACCTTTGTTGAATTACTGAAGGAAACTGGTGTCATGAAGTTGGACAAATGTGTAGCTCCAGCTGAATCTTCAGCATCACGAGTCACAACTTATATAACCTGCAATAAACTGTTTTGGTGCGCACAGACATGTGCAAGGGCGATGATGTATGAGATGAATGTGGTGGTCAGTTTTTATTATGATTAGTAGGGTTTATCATTTCTCTTTGTTCCACTCTTTCCTTATTTTTTGCAAGCATGCTGTTGCTGGTGTTTACACAACTTGCTTGTTAAGTTGGCTTCTTCCTTTTGTAGAAAATAATTTGAATCAACAGGCGTAACTTGTTACTATGAGATACATTGACTGGAAATAAACAGGCATAACTTCCAATGCTAGTTAAATGGACTGCTTTTGGTTCTGCAACGGAAAGAATGACAGATATATAAACACATTAAGATAAGCCAACACATAAAAGAAAAGCTCATATCACAACCACCCATAAAATTAAACTGAAGCTATCAGCTACATAGCTTCTTCAATATACTTCAAACATCAAAGCTGCAAGTGCTTCTCAATTTGCACAGCACTAACCACATTTTCCATCCAAAAGTTCAAGAAACTACTCCTATTACTTTTTGTTCAATAAATAAAAGGTCTATGGAAAAATCAAACATCTGTAGGAGGTAAAAACAGGTTCATCCCAACTCAAATTTTCCTAACTCTTCTGACTGTAGTTTTCCTCTCTGAAAATCCAACAAATTTGTCCATGCTCACGGGCAATGGTGGCTTCTTGTTCTCCTTACTAGCCGCACTTCTCAAGAAGTACCTTGGAGTTTCTCTCCTCTCAGCTATTGGAGTAGAAGCAACTGATTTCCTCGCGCTTTGGTACAACTTAGGCTCTCCTCTTTTCTTGGAAGATTCAACTCTAACTCCCAAATCATAAGCTGGTTTCTTCTCATCTCCTGTGTCGCCTTTCTTCCTCTTCAATCTCTCATTCCTTCTAGCAGAGTACTCTTCGTAAAACCTTCCCCTTTCAAATAAAGGACTTCTCTTTGCATTCATTGAATCAGAGTTTCCAATAGCATTCACATCCTCATTACCAAATTCATTCTTCACCATTTTCGCTAAAGCTCTTAGTTCACAAGAAATTGTACGATACTCTGGACGAAGTTCCCATTCTTCAACATTGCTGCTAGCTCTTTTAGGCACCTGAGTTTTTGTCAAAGAACCTGCATCCAATGAAAAAGACTTAGCCAAAGAGAAGATCTCTAAAAACCATCAAAAACTAAGAAGGATAAGGGGTCCTCAGATTTTGTCATTTTCCAACTACTATATAAGGTGTGAAAACTTGTCCCTGTTTTATACATTCAAAGAATAAGAAAATTCTGTTAAAACCATCAAGTTGGAGAACGCAAAAGGTGTCTTTCATTTTGTATTTCAGTTCCAACTAGTGTACTAATAACCTATTTGGCCAAGTTTCTCCAAATTCAAAAAAAAAAGTGTTTTTTTCAAAGTTGAAGTGTTTGACCAAGCTTTCAAAAGAAAAAAAAAATGCTTTTGAGGAGAAGCAGAAACAGTTTTGGAGAAGCAGAAAAAACGTTTTTTTTTAAAAACACTTTTGAGAAAAATACACTTAGAAACACTTTTTAAAAGCTTGGTCAAACACTAATTGCTGGTCAGAAGTGTTTCAAATTAATTAGCCAAATACAAGTTGTTTCTCATCAAAAGTACTTTTGAGAAAAACCTTTTTGAAAAAATACACTTTTCAAAATAAGCTTATTTTTGAAGCTTGGCCAAACAGGCTATAAAGCATGGAAATTGGTTCCCTTTTTATATTCAAAGATCTTAGCCAAATCAAATTCCCTAAAAACCAAAAGAAAAACAACAGAATAACAACAACTAAGCTCCAATCCTCTATATCAATAGTCAACACAACACCCTTTCATTCCAATACAAACTCAAAAAGCAAAACGGTCCCAAGAAATTTTCTTTCACCTCTAAAACTACTGTACTAAGCATGAAAATTGGTTCTTGCTTGTGTTCAAAAAACCATCAAAACCAGAAATGAAAAACAACATAATAACATCCATTTCTCTTCATTCAAATACAAAAATGAAAAAGCAAAAGAGGTCTTAAATTTCTTCTTTCAGCTCTAACAACAAATACCTGGTGGGGTACGAATGGCGTTCGGAGTGGATTGAAGAACACGGCGAGTACGAACGCCAACAGGAGATCTAGCAAGTGGAGGTTTACGGTCTGATCTTCTCATCATCATCTTGGAAATGAACACAAATCAAAGCTTGAAAAATCTGAAAAAAAAGAATTAAAAAACACAGAACAATAGGAAAATTGAAACTTTAAGAAAAGGAGAGAAGCGGCGGAAAATGTGAGAGAACAAAAAAAATAGTGATTACCTTAGTGCTTTGAGCGTTCTTCTTCGGCAATATTAATTTATTGTTGTTAATTTTGTCCTATTTGAGAGCCTTTTATATAATTTGAATTTCGCCGTAAAGTTGGGAGGAGCGTACCAACGGTCAAATTCAAAGATCGGACGGTTTCAAATCGTCTGAAATAAAAGAAAGGATTGATGGAATATTATTGCTAGTACTATAAAGACAAAAGTTCTATATGGAGAATAATATAATTAAATTCTTTGTAATATGATAATGAACTTTTTTTTTTCAGTTTATAAAATTTTAACCTCAAAATGTAAAGTCTTTCTTCAAGAGACAATGTAAAGGGGCATTTGCATATACTCGCTTTCTGGGTCACGTTATAACTTGTGTTTACTTTACAAAAAAAATTGCAAGCATACCCACTTTTTCGCGTAACTTCAGCATACGGGGCTGAAGTAGCAAAGACAATCACGCAAAACTTCAGTATTTTGACAGACGGACCTGAAGTAGCAAGTGTACTGAACCAAGTGTGCTGAAGTTTTTGTTTGTAATTCCTGAACTTAAGCATAATGGCTGAAGTTTTGTTCTCTATTTGTTGAAGTTTTTTGTTTATAATTGCTGAACTTAAGCATAGTAGCTGAAGTTTTGTTCTCTATTTGCTGAAGTTTTTTTTTTGTAATTACACTAAATAACCTGAAGTTTTTTTGTCCTGGATTCATTAGTTTTGTCATTAAGCTTTTTCAAAAATTTCAGCAGAAGATGCTGAAGTTATTTAGTTCATTTGTAAAAACTTCAGCACTAAAAGCTGAAGTTTTTTTGTCCTGGATTCATTAGTTTTGTCATTAAGCTTTTTCAAAAATTTCAGCAGAAGATGCTGAAGTTATTTAGTTCATTTGTAAAAACTTCAGCACTAAAAGCTGAAGTTTTTTTGTCCTGGATTCATTACTTTTGTCATAAAGCTTTTTCAAAAACTTCAGCAAAAGATGCTGAAATTATTTAGTTCATTTGTAAAAATTTCAGCACTATATAAGCTGAAGTTTTTGAAAAAGCTTTCTAACATACTAGATAAATAATCAGATTGCCAACAATATCTAAATCATAAATTTTGGAAACAATAAGCGTGAAAAGAACAGAGTTATCATTGTCTACTAACTTACGTACGTGAAAATATTCACAAATTATTGTCTACTAACTTACTTTTTTAAATAATCTGATAAACTTATTTATGACAATCATCCCATGAACTGAAGTTTCCTAGCAGCACCAACAACAGCAGAAGAAAGGAGAAGAAGAAGACGAAGGAGAAGGAGAAAGGGGGTTGAAGTTGTTTAAAAAGTGGGTACAAGTTCAAACTTTTAAAAAAAAATAGATATAGATTAAATGGGGGCGACCAAATAGAGCGCCCCGTGTAATTTTTACCAATGTAAAGGAGCTATACTTTTTACTATTTATAGCAATTACGTTTCAATCAAATTGGAGTCAACTATATAAATTTGCACGAACCATGTTACTCTATTACGCTCATTTGTGTCTAACTAACCTAATAAATATAACTTTGGAGTCAACTATATAAATTTGCACGAACCATGTTACTCTATTACGCTCATTTGTGTCTAACTAACCTAATAAATATAACTTTTTGTATGTTATTAATGTATAGAGTAGAAATTAAATCTTTTTCGAGATAATTCAAATGCTGAATTTACTGTATAAATTGTCTAAAACTCCAAAATTACCAATGAAGTTCTGCTCTAGTGCAAATGATGAGGTTTAATAATCTTAATGTTTAAAATTTATAGTTCTCCTTATAGTGAATTTCACTCACCACCAAAAGATGTGGTGCAGTGGATGGGACTGCTCCTCCCTTAATCAGAGGTTTCGAGTTCGAGCCCTGGGTATGGAAAATTCCTTAGTAGGGAGCGCTTCCCCCCGAATGGGGCCCTACACGGCCCGAATTCGAATATAGTCGGGTTCCAATGCGGATACCGGACACCGGGTAGGAAACCAAAAAAAAAAAAATTCACTCTCATTTGTTCAAAGAACAAGCACAATATTTCCAGTCAATGTTTACACAAACAAATAAAGGAAAAACAATTTGATAACATCCCGTGTATATAATTAAAATAATTTGATCACATGCTGTACATTCATTATTAGTTTGATACGTGAACCGGCAGCGAATAAATTTGTTTTCCCATTTAGAAAAACCTTCCATCTATTTCTTCAAAACTTTCATAATTTTGGGGAGAGATACAATTAAAATTCTGTAGGGATATGTAAGTTAAATCATAGTCATTCAAAGGAGCAATCTGTTTTTTTTTTTTAAAGTAAAAAGCAAACCACACAATAGCGAAAACACTATTCAAAACCCGGAAAATACGTCAGTATATTATGTTGGAGTTCCAGCATAACTATACTTGAACTCCAGCATATTATACTGAAGTTCTAGGATAAGTATGTTCCAACATAAGTACAGTAGAACCCCAGCATATTATACTGGAGTTCCAGCAAGTATATCGGTCCAGCATA